TCAAAGCAACATGGTATTGATATAAAGACAGGGAAATAGATAAAAGGAACAGAAGAGTATCCAGATATAGACCAACACATATGCAGTCGATTATTTACAACAAAGATACCAAATCCACTCAATGGAGAAAGGAGAATCTTTCTAGTAATGCTGTGGGAAAAACTGAACATTCAAATACAAAACCCTGACCCTTACATCACACACAATATTACAAAGAAATCTCAAAATAGATCATAGACCCAAATGTAAAACCTAAAACTTTAAAAAGCATAGTAGAAAAACCTTGGTGATCTTACATTATGCCAAGATTTTCTTTAGATAAAACACAAAATATATCAATCATAACAGAAAAAAAATTTGACAAAATTTAAAACTTCTGCTCTCCCAAAGATACTTTTAAGAAAATAAAAAGACAAATACAGGTTGGGAAAAAATATTCGCAAAATACAATTTTGCTAACAGACTTACATCCACAATATACAAAGGACTCTTAGAAATCAGTAAGAATAAAATAACCCAATTTTTTTAAAGGGAAGAAAATTTGAACAGACTTCACCAGAGAAGATACAGAGACAGTAAATAAGCACATGAAAAGATGTCCAACATCATTAGTTATTAGAGAAATGTAAATTAAAACCACACTGAGATACCACCCATCCCTACTACAGTGGCAAAATTTTTTAAAAACAGGTAATACAAGTAGTGGTAAGGCTGTGGAGTAACTGGAACTTTTATAAATTGCTAATGGGAATACATAAAGGTACAGCTGTCTCGAAAAACAGTTCAGCAATTTCTTATAAAGTTAAACATATACTTACCATACAACCCAGCAATCCTATTCCTAGGTATTTACCCAAGAGAAATTAAAACATAAGTCCACACAGGGATCTGTAAGTGAATGTTCAAACAGCTTTATTTTTAATAGCCAAAAATGGACACCCAAATGTCCATCAACGGGTGAAATGGATAAACAAATTATGGTACGTCCATACAATGGAATATTACTCAGCAATGGAAAGGAATGAACTCTTTATACATGCAACAACACAGATGAATCTCAACAGCATTATGCTAAAAGAAAGAAGGCAAGCTCAAAAGGCTACATATGGCATGATTTCATTTATATAACAACCTAGCAAAGACAAAGCTGTAAGGACAGAAATCAGATCAGTAGTTGCCAAGGCTTAGGGGTAGAAGAAGGGGCTTGACTATAGAGCAGCACAAGGGAATTTTTTGTGGAGTACTTAAAATATTCTGTATTTTGATTAGGATGGTAATTAAATAATGATATACATTTGCCAAAATTCATCATAATTGTATCCCTAAAAAGAGTGAATTTTATTGTGTATAAATTATACCTTAATAAAATTGAAATTACAAGAAAATAATCTGGGATATTGATAATGGGGAAAACTGTGCATGTGTAGGGACAGAAGGTATATGGGAAATCTCTCGACCTGGCCCTCAATTTTGGTATGAACCTAAAACTGCTCTAAAAATATAAAGCGTTACTTTGAAAATAAAAGGTAGTAAATGTATTAGAAATGCATCTCTTCATGAGATGAATGGGATGTTACAGGGGTCAGTTAAAGGAGATTTTGATATTAAAAAAAATAAAAGAAAAGGATCTTTTTCATCTGCCACCAAAACCTGAAAACCTGTCCCTGGGAGGCAATCTGGTATAAGAGAAAAAGCACAGACTTTGGAGTGGAACAGATCTTGGCTTAAACCCCAGCTCTGCACTTACTAGCTATGTAACTGGGCAGGTCACTTAACCTGTCTGAGTAAATTTAGTAAAGTAGGGATATGAAGAGTAATGTCCTAATATTATAATGATTTAATGAGATAATGTACCACCTGATAATACTCAAAGTGATAGTTTCCCTCAGCATACCCCACTCCTCAAACCCACATTGGGGATCCCCTCATAATTTAAGTGCCCCAACAATGGTGACAGAGTAGAGTTTGAGAAGGAGGTTGGACAACATAACCCTAAACCATTCAAGGATTAAAGTTGGGGGGACAATGAGGCAAAGAGCAGTGATGTCTTTTTTTAAAATCCCTTCAACAGATTCATTCACAAGAAGTCTTGGTTCTGGTTGCCTACAGATGTCTACGTGTCCTAGAACCTAAACACTTTCATTCTGAAAAGAGTGGTTCCTAAGGAGTAGAGATGACAGAGGGACAACTGTGGCCTCCTGAAAGAGGGATGGGTGTTTCACGACCACAAATCCATGACCTGGAAAGGGAGGGGTGGTCTCAGTAGGCTGAGTGGGGACTCAGGCACAAACTTGGCTTTGATTTTTAAAACAGTCTTCTTATAATTATGTGTGGTAAAAGCTAGATGTGGAATCTAGAAAAGGAAAGGTCACTAGGTATGGTCTCCACACAGAGAAACCGGGCCAGCTCTGCACCATTTCCTTAGCTTCAGAACCCACTCCCTAGGAAAAGATGTCAGTAACCTGATAGAAGAGAAGAACCTCCTTTTCCAAAGAAAAATGTCACAAAGACAGGCAAAAATGCCAGCCAAGAACCTGGCACAGAAGCAGCCTCCTCCACAAAGAATAACACTGAACCTCAGAATCAGTTCTCAAGATGCCAATATTCAAGCTTGTGGAAATTTAGGTCCTAATAAAAGTGTATTCAGACTAATGGGGGCGGGGGAGGGAGATTAGTCAATAAAATAACTTTGGGGCAAATGGCTCATCATTTGTCATACAAATAAAGCTGGATTCTTGCCCTCACTCCTTACACTAAAATAAATTCTAAGTGCATCAAAGATTTGAATGTAAAACAGAAATCATTAAAGTACTTGTAGAAAACATGGGAGTCTTTTTTTTTTTTTTTTTTTTAAATCTCAGAGAAGAGAAAACATTTCTAAGCAGACTGTAAAACCTAAGCTCTAAAGAAAAAGACCAATTTAACTACTTAAAATTGCTTTTGGGAATTCAAAAAAAATATTTTAAGTAAGTTTAGAGGCAAAATACAAACTAAGAAAAAAATACTGGAAATAGATACCAAAGGCCTAACCTCTTCAAAATAAAAAGAACCCTTAAAGACCATTCATAAAAAATATATAGTCCAATAGAAAAACAGGCAAAGGACTTCATGAAAATTCCCCCAAAGAGAAATACAGGGGCCATAATCATAGGAAGCCTAGATCAGTCTCACTCACAATGAAAGAAATGTAAACTAAAACAAGATGCCATCTTTTAAGGGATATTGGACAAAGAAATGTTTATAAGATAAAAAAAAAAATGGAGATTTTTAGAAGGCCCATCCACAGAGGGCAGTTAAATAAATTATGGCACATAAATATAATTAAATATCATGTACCTATTATAATTTAAATGCTGATTTCACTCATACTGATAACAATGAAAGCAGTCTGTTGAGAAGGTGATAAACAATGATTTCAATTTATGGAGCAAGATTCCATTTACCTAAAAGGGTACATTTCTAACCATTTATGAATAGGCTCACAGAGATACGTCTGGAAGAAAACTCACTAAGGGAACAGCAGTGATTGCCCCTGGGTGGACAAGTTACAGGTGATTTTTACTGTACCTCAAAAATGCAGTACCTTTTTAATAGTCTACAATGAGCATATATATTTCTATAATTGAAGTTATTTTCATTTGGAAAATATGGAGTAGTTTCAATGCAATACTTCAGTAAAATAAAACCGAAGTGTCAACATGCAATAAGGCAAACGGACAGCAGGACCCAGGCCCTTGCCCTGCGTCTTCCCCTTCTGACCTGCACAAGGCAGCGGGAAGCAGATAGGTAGGTATGTATGTAGGCTCAGGTTTACAAAGATGAAACCAGGTGCAGGATGGTATGGGTTCACAGAACAGGTTTGGAGGGGTAAAAGACCCAGTTCAAACCCAGGTTCTACTACAGTGGCTGTGTGGACCTGGGGCAAGTCACTTCATCATCTCTCTGACCTCCAGTTTCCTCTGTGTAGAGCTAGGATCCCTGCCTCCCCCAGGCAGGGCTGTTGGGAGGATTACAAAAGATACACGTGTGAGACCCTCAGCTTACTGCCTGACACAAAAACAGCCCTCAGGAAAGGTGGGCAGCCTGCCTTCTTACCTGGGATATATATATAACCTTTGTTCCCATCGCACTCACTAAATTCTCCATGACCCAGAGTCACAGAGCAGAGTGGAGAGAGGAATGACAGATCTCAGAGAATCCAAACATCTGGTCTTGGACAACATGCTCCTCTAGCACTTTGAAAACCTTTCTGGAAGCGGCCTGCAAGGAGTGCGCAGCCAGCCACAAAGGAGGAGGAGGACAAAGCAAAGGTCTAAACATTTCCCTGGGGCTGCCTGCTGTGCAGTCGATGAGCCGATGAGCCGGCACAACTCACTCCCATCTGCTCCCTTTTCCTCCTGGGGTGGCTGGGACCTGAGAGGTCAGGACGTTAGGCTCCTAGACAGCCTACTGGAATGCCAAACTGGGAAGGCCTTAGAAACCAGCTAGTGCAGGGGCTTTCATGCTGCAGATGAAGGACAGGAGAACCAGAGAGGGGAAGGGCCTTGCAAGGAACGGAAGCAGCCAGTACACATCTGTCGGCCCTAAGTGTTCAGGACTCAGCAGTGAAAGAAAAAAACCAGACTAGAACTACTCTGATGCAAATAACGGCCCAGAAAGAGGACTGGTAGGATCATCACTAGGAGCCACCCAGCCATAACTCTGCTTCCAAAAGAAACAGAACCTAGATCAAAGAAAGAGGTGAGAGGAAAGAGCTCTAAGTTATTCTCAAAACTCCCTGGTGACTCTGGAGGTTACCTGGAAATTCTTAGGAAAGGAAGACCATGGAAAAGAGAGGTACCAGCAGATTCAAAAGGAACCAGCAGACTCTATCTCTTAAGTCATAAGTGCAACCAAGAAGCAGGGCAGCCATGGATGAGGAAAGACTTGGAGGCAGGAGCAGAAGGCCACTTGCCCAGAACACAGTCCCAGCAGCTGGCACTGGCTGAGCTGGGGCTTACCTTGGGAAGGCTGACTGGAGTCCTCGGCTTGGTCCTTGGGTTCTTAATCAAGAGCCTCTGATCCTGAGGGAGCAGATGGTATTTCATGGCCTCAATGAGGAAGTCCTTACAGGTGTTGTTATTCTTTATCAAAGCTTCTTCTTCAACTGTCTGGAGGTAACAACCCACAGGTAAGCCAGAAGCAGAGCCCATTCCCCAATCTGACCCCTCTCCCCTGGGTGAGTTATTCCTGTATTCCCACGCTCTTTTACCCCCCTACTACCTCATCTCAGACCCCAGAAGGAAGATCACAGACCTACAACTGAGTGCCTACCTCCTGTATTTCAAGAGCACAGTGGAGTAAGTGGTTAAGTTCTGGCATCAAACAGACAGGGATATAACCTCACTGGCTAGGTCTGTCTGGTATGTTAGTTTATAGACTTAAATGGAATTATGCAAAACAAAGACAATTAGCTGCCCTGAAGGCTTCATCCCACATTCCTCTTGGTTTAAGTGCTTTACAATGTTTAGGGCAAACGTCAGACATCTGAGAGGAGAGGGAGGGAAAGAGGAAGAGGGCAGGATCCCTCAGCCAACCTTTGGAGGCATGGAGTCAAACAAGGTGAGAGTCAAGAAGAACAGTTCATATCCATTTTCTTACAGTGAAGCCTCAGGGACAAAACTGGCCAACGAGGTGCTCTATAACAGAATGGTGATACCAGAGCAGAAAGAATGTCCTGCACAGAAGTCCCATCTACTGACTGCATCTTGGACCCTATCTACGCTGGAACTATGGCTTCTTCACATACCACAGAGCTGTTGGCCTAAGCAGATGCTCAGCAGTATAAGCCAAAATATCTCATGACCAAGACCAAGGGTGAACCGATGCTGGTGCTCTGACACTCAAACCTCTGTCCTTTGACCTAGGTCAGATTGTCGTGTGGTGTATCTGTAAGGGGTAGTTTGGTCTTTGGAGGTCACCTCACAGTTTCTTTGCTGGAGTATTTATGAGCTAACAGGAGAGATCAGTTTCATTCAAGAGCTAACAAAGATGGAATGTCTCCTGGTTGGACAGCCCAGTGCTACACTCTGGGGGAAAAAAAAAGATAAACAAGACAAGGATTCTGACTTTGAGGCACTCAAGTCCAGTCAGAGAAGGAGAGGGGCCTCCCCACCTCAATCACCTCAGCCCTCAAGCCAGTCGTGCACAAAGCGTGACTAGCCTCACTGGTAACTAGGAACCGAAATATGGCCAGGCCATCACCTGCCGGGCAGCACTGGAGCTGGCAGGAAAAGAAGGACTGTCATGATTTAGCCTCTGTCAGCACTGGGCACCTCTTTTGCCAGAAGTGATCCTCAGGAACACTCCATTTGGGGGAATTTTTCCCCACTCGCCCTACCCCCACTGAGGGACTGACCCAGATTGAGACAAATTATAAGCTTTTAGGGTCAGTTAAAACAAATTTAAAAGGGTGAGAGAGTATCTCGTTTCTTTTTAAGATTTTATTTATTCGAGAGAAAGGGAGAGAGAAAAAGAGAGAGAGCATGAACAAGTGGAAGAGCAGAGAGGGTGGGAGAGAGACAAGCAGACTCCCCACTCAGTGTGGAGCCTAACACAGGGCTCAGTCCCACAACCCTGAGATCATGACCTGAGCAGAAACCAAGAGTCGGAAACTCAACTGACTGAGCCACCCACGTGCCTCTGAGAGAAGATACCTTCCAAAGCCTGGATAGAAAGCGAAATGCTATCCAGTGGGGCGCCTGGGTGGCTCAGTGGGTTAAGCCTGTGCCTTGGGCTCAGGTCATGATCTCAGGGTCCTGGGATCGAGCCCCACATTGGGCTCTCTGCTCAGCAGGGAGCCTGCTTCCCCTCTCTCTCTGCCTGCTTCTCTGCCTACTTGTGATCTCTGTCTGTCAAATAAATAAATAAAATCTTAAAAAAAAAAAAAGAAATGCATAAACAGCTACTTCTCCCAAAGAATGCATTCAGCTTGAATGAAAAGATTCTCCAAAAAGTTAATGCTTCACCACAAAGAGTTTCAATCTGGGGTGACAAGAAAGTTTTAAGAATGGATATAGTGATGGTTGTACAGCATGACAAATACAATTAGTACATTGAATTTACACTTTAAAATGGTCAAAATGATGAAGCATACATATATACATACATATATATGTGTATATATATATATCACAATTTTAAAAAGTTTTTAGATGTAACATGTTACACACTTCTACATATCTAAATATTTCAAAATATTTAGTAAAGCCTAATAAGTGTTAGTGGATAAAAACAAACAAACAAAAACACCTTCCCCAAAAATCAGTGTTGGTGCAGGTCTGCCCAGGGCTCTCCCTGTGTCCTCCCCCACCAAGATTGACCACCTGCAGCAGGTTATACTGGCCTGAAGTTTCAAAGTCAAATGAGTGTTAATGAAACATCCTTTTCCAGAGGTGTTCTAAAAAGAGTACTTTGGAAAGGTGGGGGTAGGGGAAGGGTCCCACACAACAGTGCTCATGCCCATTGCTTCCGACCCCCTTCTTCTCCAGATCTAAACCCTACTTTGCCATCATAACCTAAGAACTATTTTCTAGTATCTTTAAGTTTCAGTGGTGGACAGATGGAGGTCATGACCAAGGGTTTCTAATGTCTCTTCAGTTTTCCCTGGAACTCAGGTCCACAGATAACCCTTCCTGTGGAAGTGATGCTGTGCTGGAGGCCAGACGTCTACCTCTGCCTTTGGTCAGTTTCTCACAAGACAGGAGATTTGATTCTGACCCTGGGAGCTCAGGCCAGTTCAGTCCCTCTGCTTAGGGAACCTTTCCTACAGGAAGGAGATGCTGCCACCAGGGGGCAGTGGTACCATCCAAAGTGTAAAACACAGGGCCCATAGAGGGACTGGGGCTAGTGTATGCCTCAGCACCTGGAATAGGACAGAGGTTCAGAGATTCAGAGAACATCTCACTGACCCATTAGACCAACATTAATAATTAATAATTAATAATGTTGACCCATTAGGTCAACAGCATCCCAAGATGATGATTTTACAAGCATTTGTGAGGATACCCTACTCTCCCACTATTCCCAATAGCACCTTTGGTCATCACGTTGGTAGACATATCAGCTAGCATTCACTCACAGTGTTGCAGTCTTTATGTGGATCATCTCATTCTATCCCCAAACAATCCTATAAGGGCAGGTGTTATTTTTACCAGATGAGAAGACTGAGATTGAGAAAGGTTGAGCACTTGCCCAGTGTTAGATGCCTGGGAAGTGACAGAGCTAGGCCACTGGGTTGCTAAATTAGATCTATCATATCCTTGCTTCACACCTTCCATTCCTTCCAGAAACTTCCTGGAAACAGATGAGGGTTGGCCTACTGCCTTGGTGTTCTGTTTTGTTCATATATTTAAGTTTCACCCTCTGCCCACTTACAAGATTATCTAAAGCCAATAGATCAAAAGAACAGAGAGTAGTAAAGGTGACAGCCCTCCTGGTGAAAGGCAGGGGCTTCTGGGTCAGCAGATGTGGATTTGAATCCTGACCCTGCCTTCTTCTGCCAAATAATTCTCGGCCTCCATAAACCTCAAGGCCCAGACCTATAAAAAGAGGGTTATTTAACTTTGCCTCACAGGGTTATTACAAGGATTAAATATGTGACACTGCAGGGGCCCCCCCATAATTCTTCATTTTTCTTTCCTCCTCAGAGGAAGTAGAAGCAATATGTATCCCAGGCACCTGTGAGGAGCTGGTTTTTGCAGTCCCGAACTGGGCTCCAAGATGCCTACCGTGAAGGTAAAGAGAACACAGCAACATGGAAATGACCCTTCTTGCTTAGGTCCCCTACAGTAAAAGTGGCTGACTTCCAGAGAACATTTCTTATGCCCAGCTCCATGCTAAACACCTGACTTGCATATTTACAACTCCTCTGGTCCTCACAACAGTCCTGCAGGGTTCTCGTATAATATCCCTTCTATCAAAGAAGAAACTAAGGCTTGAAGAGTTAAATAAAAACTCAAAGCTAACAAGTAGTGGAGCAGGAACTAAACCCTAAGTGTCTTATTCTCAAACCTACACTCTTAAACCTCACTCTACCATCTGACAGAACGTTGCATGTCAATTATACTTCAATAATAAAAATTAAAAAAAAAAAAAGACCCTTAGACTACCATGATTCCCCTTAGGCCAGTGGGTTGGTGCTCTCAACCTGTACAAAAGATCCATAAAACTCCTCAACTGCCCCATACAACCAGGCTGCCCTCTGCTATTCCGAGAAGCCTGGGAAAGCAGGAAAGCCCTTGGCTCTTCACACAGCACTCACCTGGACCAGGTAATCCCTTGGTAAGAGGGGAAGACGGACATGTTCCATCAGTTTTGCCATGTGCTCTAAACGGGTTTCTTTCTCATAATTGATCCATGAAATCACAGCTTCAAATACCTACAAAGAAAACCAACACAGGTAACTGTAACAGAGAGAAGACCTTCCAAACAATTTCCTCATTCCGGGGGGTGGGGAGGAAGTCCAATGTCCAAATCATCCACAAAGGTGGTTAACCTAAGGTTCAATGTTTACAATAAACGAAAAATGGAAAGAATTTGTCTTCTACCTGACATCACAGTGATATCACACACACACACAGGTTATAATAAATCTGCGCCCCCAAACACAGAATCACCAAGGTTCACAGCAAAATAAATATCAGGTCTCATGGTTATTTAAAGATAGAAATACAAAGCAGGGACTCTGAACCAAATTTTATAAAGACTACGCAGAAGACCAGAAGCCTTGGGAGCAAGCCTATCATGCCCCTCGCCCCCCACATCCCTCACCCCCCACATCCCTCTCCTCATTCATGTCCCAAGTGCGGCTAATGCAGAATCAAGACAGTAAGAATATCATCTGCCCAAAAGCTGGCTGTGAAATGGTGAGTATGTCAGCAAATGACAGAGAATTTCTCTGTCAAAAACTTCACCTTGGCTTAACCTCTCCCTTGAGGAGAGATTTCATTTCTCTACAAATGAAAATCGGGCTTGGAACCAAAAAGTAGGCTCTCGGGTTTGGATCTCCACCATGCTTAAGAAGAAGCCCACTGTCTGCCACCATATACACACAGATGGATAAAATTCAATGTTGATAAGCCTGCAGGGAAGCCGGCACTATTTCTGGAACTTAATTAACACAGCTTTTTAAGAGGAGGGAAGAATTTGGCAGTATCAATCAAATATGTCAATGTGCACATTCTTTGACCTAGAAATACCACTTCTAGGATCTAGCCTACAAAAATACTCACAAAGGTGGTGCTCACAAAAGAATTTGCATGCCAGGATGTTTGCTGCAGCATTTTTGTAAAAAATAGAAAGGGAAACAACCTAATGCTGACTAGTGGAGAAATTATTTAACTACTATGCATACTATGGGATATTTTCAGCTGGTGGAAAGAATAAAACAAAACAACTTCTTGTGCCAAAAACCAAGAAAGTACCCAAAGGTTAAGATGGACACAGAGCCAACAAGTGGGACTTTCGTTGCCAATATCTGGGACAAAACATCAAAGAGAATAATGACAAAATCAGGTTAGTGCTTCTTGGTGAAGTGGGTTGGGAGAATGGGGAGGTGACAAAGGAAACTTTTTGGGGGAATGGATATGTTCTAGATCTTGACAAGGTGGAAGTTACACGTACATATGCATTTGTGAAACTGATTAGTCTGTACACATAGTATCTGTACATTTCACGGTGCCCAACTCATAATTCAGTGTGAAACATTCTCAGAGGAGCGTCTGGCTGGCTTAGTTGGTAGAGCATATGACTCTTGATCGCAGGATTGTGAGTTCCAGCCCCACATTGAACATGGAACCTACTTAAATAATTAAATAAAATGAAACATTCTCAGAATGAAAGAAAAATACAGTAACGGATCAAACACGATGAACAAAAAAGAATCCATAAATCCAGAGAATACATTTAAAAATGTGCAAAGGGCTCTTCTTCACAGACAAATACCAGCCAATAAAGGTAGAGGGAATGACAGCAAAAAAATATCATTTTGCGACCATCAATATAATAACTCATTCAGAAAAATTCATCAGGGGATGCTCAAATCACTGCATGAAAATTGGCTGGGGAACAGGATAGTTTTCAAAGTATTACGTCGTGGATAACTTACTAACTACATGGTGGCAGGGGCAGGGACAGCCACTAATGTGGAAATCTGACAGATACCACCTTGAGCAAGTGACCTAAGTTAGCACCACCAATAACAGGACAAACTAATCTTCCCGATCTTGACTTAATGGGAAAGGACACAGCATCCCCTAAAGTAGTTTCTTCCTAAAATGTTTAACCTGAATCTTATACGAAGGAAATAATCAGATAACTCCATCTTTGGAACATTCTGCAATTCTGCAAGACTGCTGGCCTGAATTCTTCAAACCATTAATATTATAAGAGACCAAAAAAAAAAAAAAAAAAAAAAAAAAAAAA